TGTTGTAAAAGACGACTAGTCTTATTTATATGTGAAACAAATTAATTAATTAGACTTTTCATTTTTTGTCAATTTTAATTTATGTCTGATAAGTGACAAGTCTTTTAATTTACTCCATTCTAGAGTATCATAAATTACAGTTTAGCGATGGAGTTAATAACATTTCTTTAGTGACTTGTATTATATAAATGGTGAATCTCCGATATTCTTTTAAATGGTAATTACAAATGTTTTGGAGTATTTATAGGAGTATTAAACTAAATTAAATTTTGATATTAAATATGCAGGACCTGGTTGCTCATCGATAGCCTATGGAGCTGCACAAGAACTAGGCCCTTTCCTTATTCGCACCAATGGGGGTAACCTTACCTTCAATAATTTCTCTTGGAACAAAGGTACAATGAATTAAATTTGCCATTTATATTACGATATTTGCATTTAAAGATACATAATGAATACATTTATCTAAGTGTATAACTATTGATTGTTACATATACAAAAAAATATTTGTGCAGAGGCCAATATGTTGTTCTTGGAAGCACCGGTTGGGGTTGGGTTCTCGTATACCAATAACTCAATGGATCTTCAAAAGCTTGGAGATCAAGTTACCGCAGAGGACTCTCTTGCTTTCTTGATCAACTGGTTTACGAAATTTCCTGAGTTTCGATCCAACGAGTTCTACATCACCGGGGAGAGTTACGCCGGTAAGTGCTTAATTAAGTTGTCCGGTTATATTTTTTTTTTTTGGTTTACCAATTACAAAACCAAAAATAAAATAAAATTAGAAACTTGTTCGGTTTGGTTTGAGATCGATATGACTTCAAATTTGGTTTGGATTCAGTTTTTTTTTAAAGCAAGATTTTATCTTGAATTTGATATATTTTCAAATAAATAGAAGTTTTCAATTCGGTTCTGTTCTGTTTGGATATAAATCGGATTTCTTCCGTTTAGGATCGGTTTTCTGGCTTGGTTTGTAAATATAATAGGGCACTCCAATATATGTATACGTATAAACAAAAATTGAGTGACAGATTATGTTTTCTTCTCAGGTCACTATGTTCCACAACTTGCGGAGGCCATATACGACAGGAACAAGAAGGTTAAAGGAGACTCTCGCATCAACCTCAAAGGTTTCATGGTATGTACTAAGTAGCAAGGTCACTTGCGACACAACATTTCTTGCGATAAATGTAAACATGAAAGGATTCATTTGGTGACCACGCTTGCAGATTGGGAACGCGGTGATCAACGAGGAAACAGACATGGCAGGACTAGTGGACTACGCATGGAGCCACGCTATAGTATCTGACCAGCTCCACAGCAACATACATGGAACGTGCCGTTTTGAGGAAGAACAAACCAACAAGACCGTTCAGTGCTTTGACAATATCAAAGAATTCATGGAAGCTTACAACGATATCGATATATACAGCATTTACACTCCCGTTTGCCTC